CCCTCTGCACCAACTGGGTTACAACATGCTTGCACCACTGGAACACTCATTTTTGAGTAGGCCGTACAGTCCCCCATTAACTGACATCAATGAGGAAGAGGACTGTTTTCTTCCTACCTCCTATCCATTTTGCTCTTTCAGCCAGAAAAACACCACCACCATCCATACATTGTATAATCATTCTTTGGCTGCAAATAAAGTCTTTCAGGTAGGACATGATTGCCATGCCAATGTCCTGTGGACTGAGAAGGAAAGGGAACAAGCAGTGAGGGGCCATGTAACAACAGACATTAATGACTTGCGCACGCAGGTATGTGGCTACACATTGGGAGCCTTATCCAATCATTTACCTGAGTTATTGTTAGCTTCAGTCTCAGTATCAAGACAGTGTAAAGGCTGCATGTGAGACGTACCTGAGGATCCCAGCAAATATCATTTTCAGGTAAGTTCATTGTACACTCAAGCATTTGGTGCCTTATCAAACTTCTTGATATCAGCCAATCACTCAATATTCGCAACTTAGATGGCTCCCTTATGGTCTTTGTTTGCACATCCCTCCCTGACTATATCTGCTCATCACTATAGCCAAAGCTCCTAGCTGCATTTGAGAATAACGAGCTGATTACTGAGAAGCCAGGTTAACAAGATGAGGATGACATATTTGAGGCGCTACACTCTTCTTGGTACGACCGTCACTGCACAAGGGTAAGTACTGATACAGCCATGTTATTCCTTTCCAGCTGCCCACTAATTTCCTTGAAAACCAGGGAGATGATACTTCAACTGGTATTTTGCCTCTCATGTTAGAGAGGGAAGATGGAAGTTGTACCAACTATTCATCCCTTACCTGTTGAAGGGAATCAAAGATCATGGCACTATTTACCAGACTATCAAAGTTGTCTTTGCAGACCTATTCCATTGGATCCATGATGTGGTAAGCTTAAATATAGTACATTATTGTGGTATCTAATTTAATAATCACTCTATCCACAAGATTGAGCTCCAGCTGCCTGAGAAGTATGAGCTATTGCCTGAAGTTGTGTCAATTTTGCCTGGCAACAATTTGTCTCCAATATTCCCCTTCCTTTCACTGGTGATTAATCTCAATGTCTTTACCAAAGGTCATCAAGATAGCAAAGACAAGGACTTCTGTCTTGTCCTTCCTATTGATAATTTCCAAGGTGGAGCCCTTGTCATGGTTGAAACAGGTCTGGTCTTGGAAATAAGGCAAGTTGACTTCGCCATCTTGAGATCTTGTGACATTATGCACTTCAATCTGCAATACCAAGGTAAGAGAGCATCTTTTGTTTTCCATACTGACAAAGGGTTCTCTTTATGGGCAAAAAATAGAAATAGATGGGCAGATAATGTAGTTTGAATAGTTTAGCTTTTTGCACGTCTTTTCTTTGTGAAGTTAGTATACTTTCAGATGTTCCCACACCAAGATTTGAGTGCCACATTTTCTTCAGAGTCAGCTCTTGATACAATGTAAATGTGATAAACGCTGGTTTGAATGGTTGTTAGGGGGTGGTCTGCTTATCAGGCACACCAACTGCTGAGCTAAAGTACTCCCCTTAACACTGGGGGCCATGTAAAGTTTGGTTCTGATCTCTCTAGTACCTCGTCCTGAGGAGCTCGCCTGTAGGATTTAGGCACACACTTTGTTTCCGGGGGCTAGCAAAAGCTCAACGCCCCACTGGCACCAAAGTTTTACTGTTTGAAAGACTCCACTTAACCATGTGGTCCTGGTTTGCACAAAAGTGTGAGAGAGTAAAGAGAGCAAGTCCTAATGTAATACCCAAAGTTTGTATACTCTGGCACATGTCAAAGACAAGCAAGGACAGGTGAATGGAGGAGAGGATAATCTCCCTTGAGTAGAAACAAATTTGTTATGGGTAAATAACAGGAAGACTCGCTGTGGAGTCTCCTTGGGGTATTTATACTACTACAGACAATTTGTACATGTGTATTATACAGTTGTTGAAAGCAGTGGCTGATGATGTCATAGGGCACAGCCCATGTGACCAGCTCCACTGCAAGAGAGACTTGTAGCTAAGAATAAAGGAAAGCAGTGCAGTGCAAGAAAGTGGAGTTTGAATAAAATGGAAAGTGCCACATGGCACAGTGTGTGAAAACTACAAAATAAAGTTAAAGTGGAGAATGAAATTTAAAAGTCCAAAAATTGTGTATCATAATACCAACTATCACTTTTTAACAGGAACCTTACCATTAAACACTGTGCCCTTAAATAGATCAACTACATTGGCACAGGTGGTACAACAGAAGAGGACTCTGAAGATGAGCTTCTCCTCATGCTTAGCAAATCACAAATTGACAAAGTCATTGCATCTTTTACGCCGAGTATCTCAACTAGTTCTCGCAAACATATTTGTTTATCACACTCTGGGTCTGGAGGCTTAGGTTCTCAGTCAGTGTTTTATAGTATATCAATTATATCTATTTAGACTCATATGTTTATAGTTTGTAACCTATTCACCAACCCGTTCAGAGAAGCATTAGACAGGCAATAAAAGAACAGGGACTCTTTTCTAGGCTATACTAGTAGCATAATGACCTGCTTGTACTAACTTCTGCTATGAATTGTACTAACATATTTTTCTTGCTGTCTGTAATGTAAAACAAGTATACGCAACCCCAACATGTCAAATCCATTCACTCATTCTTGCTCTCTCTCTTACACATATATGTGAACAACTTGATGGTTCCTCAATACATATTCCCCCAGAACACAACAAGTGCACATGTTCAAAATGTGTCAAGAGTATACTGCAATACAAGGTGCAAAGGACAGCAACCACCCAACACCATTTACTTCAAGATAACCAGGAATCAACAAAGAACACAAGCTGTATTAACCTGTCAGAAAATCCCTCACATCCACAACCTTCTAATGCATGACAATGCTCAGCAAGTCCAGATGATGCAAGACCTAATTTTGGCACTCAAGACAATCACACCAATGAATATTCACACCTCCCATTCCAAGGTCAAGGCTTTTATTTTGACAAGCCCCAAGATGATGACTCCAACTATGATCCAACACAGGATAACAGTTGAGACAGCCAGGATCAGCAAGCGGATGAGCCAAGCATAGATCCAAGGCAACCCCCCATACATGTAACCAACAATACCTCCAATAATCCTGACTTTGGCCCAGAAACACTTGTCCCAGCATTTGATAACCCCCCACCACTACACCTTGCATATCTACAAACAGCAATGAGTTATATTGTAGACGGACACACCATAATTGAGGCAATAAATCAATTACAAGGTGCACTTGATTTAATCAATATATGCAGTGCCTTACCAATTGAACCACGCCCTCTGTTTTCCCTTGCTGGAGTCAAAAGTCATCTTGGCTTTGATCTGAATGAATACATAGGATATCAGGCCATATGTACACTATGCTTCAAATATTACACTCCTCAAGATATTCAGAAAACATGAGGACAGATGACTTTGTTACCCGGTTCCTGGCCTCTCCATCCAAGGGGGTCTCAGAAATGAACACGCAGTGGAATTGTTGGAGCACAATGTGTCATCAGCCATTGCACAACAACTTTACATACAGGATATGCAGAGAAAAAACCTTGTAACAGCTGCTGAGGAGGTTCAAAAAATTGGTAGGGCCATAAAGCTCTACGCTATGCAATTTGGTGGTGGGACCACCACCAAAAACAACTATTCCCAGAGGTGCCCTGGGTCATCAGACCAAAATAATAACCATTCTCATGGGTTTAAGCTATTTGGGGTGCAACCAGGGTAGGGAGCCCCCATGGATATTGGCGCAGTCCAAGGCAGACAGATGTGCAGATTCAAGGGGAACTGCTATAATTGCGGCCAGGAGGGACACATGTGCCGAGACTGTAAAAATGGGGTGCAGGCCACCCAACAAAAAATAACCAAGGGTGCCAATTAGAAATGGAGAAAGGATTGACTGTCCATTATATTAAGGGGTAGTATCATTTGCTATGCGGTCAGTATGAATTGATACATTCTGATGATCTTAAAACAGCGGGAAACTGGACTGTGGACACACCTGATTCCCACAGCAGACTCAGAGCGGACTCAATGGGAGCCAACTCAGCAGAGTAGCCCCGACACATGTACTGACCTTTTATTGGATTTCGAGAGCCGCACAGCTATCTGCATGGTAAAACAGGTGTGGTCCATTATTTGCTCACACAGCTGGCCACAGACATCGAATCAGGACACTCGGCACACCTAATTCCCATGCTCAGTGTGCATACTCAGTCAACGCTTGATGTCTGTTACCAGCTATGTGAATATGTATGAGCAGCATACCTGTTTACCATGCAAATAGCTGTGCGGCTCTCCAAATCCAATAAAAGGTCAGTACATGTGTCTAGCGTAAAAATTTATAATAGGTACTTATAAAGGGAGGTGAGCCTACTGGATATGCAATTGACAATCTGACCATGCTTTCTACTTACTCAGGATCAATGAGTGCTAGATCCACCTTTCACGCCACAGTCACAGTATCTCAGTCCAGGGAGTCTGTGAGAGAATGCTCTTCTACCTACTCCATGGCAGTATTGCCACTACCCATCTCACGTCAGTTGTCAATTTCCACTAGCAAGGTATTGCCCTCTGCACAGCTACAGCTTGCATCTCCCTCTCCAAAGCAGTCCCCTGTGGCACCAATAATATTAACACCCTTCACAGATGAGGGTAAGTCGACTCATAAAGAGGCTTGTACACACTTACATACAATCACCAGCCTTGGAAAAGACTGTGTCTGTCACCATGCCTATTGTACTTCAAAATGCATTAGATATTATCTCAAACAGCACATAAGATTCTTTCTCACCTGTTGTATGTTTATTATTATTTTTTTCACAGCAATAAGTTTATTCTCCGTTAAATCTTCAGAGGCTTCAGTCAGAAATTATTTGCACAATTCTCATCCATTGTTGATGATGCTAAAGTAGCAATAAGGTATGCCTCTTTCCATAATGGCCCTTATGGGTGTTTTTGAGCGCTCCCTGAAGGGCCCTTCCTACAACAAAAATAAATCAAGCGCTGACGCAAATGAGTCTGCTCTTAGAGGTATGCACAATAATGGCCCTAATAAGTATGTATAATAGCTAAAACGGTGTATGTAGGAATTCATGATTGGGAAATGCAGAATTTGCACAACCCACATGGCTACTATGCCCATGCCATCCACTATCCACTTACATGACTTAGATGACCTTAAGGTTGTTGTCCTGATGTTGATAGTGAAGATGAACCTCTTCATAAGAGGGCCAGGAATAGCATGGAAGAGGAACTAGAAGATGAAGATGAAGATGCTCTGATGCAGACCTTTAGACGCTTGACAGGCAAGTAACTCAACCTTAGCTATAAGCTTTACTAATGCAGCATCATCAGAAGAAATCTCACAGCAAGTTACTCCATTACCTTCATTGACCCAGGAGCTGGACAATCCTTGCTACAAACAAATAGTGTCATCATTGCATACTGATGTGAGTTTTACCTTTTTTTTCTAGTTCACTGATCCACATATACAAATACAAATTACTGCATCACTAGCTGAAAGTGTCCGGTTGGTTAACGATAAGCGTAAAAGGAATAGCAATAGTTCTCCTTCATTAACACCTTCCAGAGATTCCAAGGTAAGTGTGCAATATGTTTAAAGATTATAAGGCTTATATTCTACACAGGCCGTCATCACTAGCTTTAGCCCCACCAGCTCCAGGCTGGCTAAAGCAGGACATTCTCAAATGTGTGTCATTCTTTCTACTGTGAAAGGCTTCCCAGGTACTGATGAACGAGATGAACCTGTTTAGAATGTGATCATCAAAGTTGCAAGTTGTTCTTCACTATGCAAGACTACCATAGTAGATTTGGAGAATGCAAGGAACGAGCAGAAAAAAAGTAGACTCATTGATTATGTGAGTGAGAACAATGCTTCCAATATTACTAATATTAAAATTTTAAACAGGTGTGGACGGCTGCAGCTCAGCTTAGAGGTGAAGTCAAACAAAAGGCTAGGATACTCATTCTCTCAGAATACGCCCTCAAAAACAAGCTTCCAGAGGAAGTACATACTATAATGGAGTGGTTGTTGAGTAATGGAAAAGGTGTCTTTACATTTGGTGGTTTGGATATTTCTGTAAGTGTTCATATGTACTCTTCTTAAACATTTTATGACTATGTATTTCAGACTTAACCATATGATAAGCAAAAACCTTTTGGACATTGCATCATCAAGCTACTAGTTCAGGTTCAGTGGTTCCATAAGAAGGGGGAGGGTGTCCTCTATCCAAGTGATTTCAAAGACTCACCTTTTCCATTAATTGCCTTGGCTATTACAGCTGTGAGTTTGTGGTGTAATATACATGAATTTTCCTCACTCTATATTTCACAGGTCGAAAACTGTCTTCATGAACTTGCAAAAAGTGTTTGCACCACCTTGAATTTCTCTGAACAGGTCTACAGGCCCAGGTAAATTCAATATCCACTCTACGTCAACCTTTACTCACAAGTGTTTATCAGATATTTATATTATCTGTCCAGGTTAGAAGAGCTACAAAGGAAGGCTCCTAGGTGGTTTTTGCAGTTTCGTAAAAACACTTACAACAATATTCTGTGAGTAGCCTACCAAATTATTTTAGAACAACACTCATAAGCATTATATTACACACAGTCAACAGTGTGATTTACAGTACTTGAATGCACAAGAGGACAACTGGGAGGATGAGGTTGATTATGCAGCGCTTGAAGATTCAGCATCCTTATAATTGTTGATACATGCATGTCATTATATGGTATCAGAAATATACTATAATATATTCTCTGTATATGATCTCTGGCTAGGATGCTATAATAATAGTGAACAAAACTGAGAGAATATGAAAACTATGATAAGCTTGTGGAACATATATAATATGACCATTCTGAAATAACCATTGATGGTTGCTATATCTATTATATTCTATGAGAGCAACCATAGTAGAGATGGATTGTATATATCACTTCTGTGATACTATAGCTGGTATAGCAAACATCTCAAAATAGCCCTGCTATATAGAGCTATATAATAGGGACTTGTTTAGGCGTACTATAGCTACTATTTTCCCTATATAGCACTATAACAGCTATGATAGCTATAAAAGGAAACTATGGTTTTTCCTGATGGTATACATCTATCTGCTAATAGTAGATCTACACTGATGCCTATGTACTTGATATCTGACACTTTGTTTGGTGGTACAACAGCAACATACTCTTCCAGTTTCAACTCGAAAAACCTGACCTCCAACATTAGCGACACAATCATCTCAAATATCCTCAGACTGACGGCGATCAGTTCTGTGGGTGCAGTTCGCCCTAGGTGAGTCAAAATAAACAGCTTTATCCTCCCCAAAATGACCCTCCCAACACGGACATGCTCATCCCATCTTAGAAACAAATAATCAACCCCCAGCTGTCTTTTTACTCGAGCAAAGTCAAGCTCTCTGTGAAAGTGTTTGTTCCACCCACTTTGAGGGCCCCACCCTATTCCCCAAGCTCCAAACGCACACTCGATCCCAACAAAATCTTTCCTGATATTCTGCCAGCCAAAATTGCTGGTTATATAATCCTCCAGTGAGTCTGAACTGGTGATCGCCTCAGCTCCATTGATTCCACCTGGAGTAGCAATCCCGGGATTGTCTGGCTTGTGAAATAGGGTGATCTTAGCTTTATCATTGTGTTTTCTTCTCATTAAAGGTATATCAGCAGTTTTATAGACATATACACAGGATATCAACTCACTTGTCACGATATCTGTGGTATGATCAGGCCAGAAACTCGACATTCAAAGCATAATATACTCACTGTGCTGAACATTCCCTCGCCTTTGCATTTTGGATTGCATGGACTCTATTTAGACGGTTCACTGGGGCTATCACAGTATACAAGGAGGACAGTTACTTGGCATTCAAAAGCCATTTTTTTGTAGCAAGAAATTGCTTTTCTTTCTTCTGTGGTGAGTCTTGCAATATATGTTTTGTTGTCCACTTGCTCATGGTTGTGGCTGACATATGATTGCAGCGATAGTATCAGCTTGGCAAAAAAAAAAACAAGATCAAAGTTAGACTCGCGTAGATCCAGAGTTATATCAAACTATAGTGTACCGTTCACTATAGCTGTAACATAATGTACAATCCAGTGTATTTTGTAGCCCACTAGGAATATAGGTGACAATAATATGATTGGAGGGCCTTTTTGGATGTCGTGAGTAATATTAATATGTTGAAACTGAGGAAGAGAAGCAGACATCCTAGTACATTGAACAATATCACAAGATTGTAGAACACGCACTGAATTGAGTATAGTGTAGTATTGACATTTACACCAGCATTTTATGCAAATGCTGGCTTCACTGTATAATTCAAACTTATTAATATGTTACGAGTACTTATTTTTCTGATATGCATGTAGTGATTTGCGGATATAAAAATATCAAGACATCATGTTAGCCAATGCTATTTCTACATTACATTGTAATTTGTATAAAACCATATTTTAATATAATGTACAAGTCAGTAATTTGGTTGTAGTCAATCACAGAAAACTTACAAGGCTCATAATACCTGACTAAATTGTTCCACCAGATCGTCAAAATTATCGTCCGTTACAAAGTCATCAAGTTCCAAGGAGGGTTGGGTGGGATCAGGGCTATTGGTTTGCACATGCCAGAAACAACTACCGGGCACAGCTGCAGCGCACACTGCACCTAGTTTGTATTTCTGTCTGTATTTCCCAAGCGCTTCCTCAAAGCTCCTGTACCTCTTGAACCTGTGTAACAGATATGGTAGTAGTTTTTGACCATGTCCTTGTAACGGTCTTGTTACAAAACCCTGGTGATGCTGGAATGGCGGTTATGAAGAAAGCTTATTCCACAATCCCATGCTAAAGCCAAAGTACGCATACCTGAAGATTGGGAGTTATTAGTATGTTGACTTGACATCTGTGTTGTTTGAGGATAAGATGTGGGGTCCAATGTGATTGATGCGGCATAACTGTACTACAAATCAGTCATATCACGACCGCACGTGACAAACCCTGATTAATTGTTGATCAGGAGGACAGTGAGATTTAGACTCTAGTCTATGCTATCATTAAGACTTTGACCGGCAAACAATTCTCCTTCCTCTTATTGGCCTTGTTTCCCCTGAGAAACTAAAACCACTGCTGAAACAACGTGAAAGGAGATGGTTAGCACAGGAGCAACACGACCAAAGGGATGCACCAGCCTGTCCTCTGGAAAAGTTCGTCAAGTGGGATCCTCTCAAAATCAATATGGCCAGCAAATTAAGCAAACAAGTAAGACTTTGAGCTCAAAAGGTATTGCAAAATGAATTGCTGAAGGAGATGAACGGCAAAAAATATGGATAGAAGGTGAGTGCATTGTATTTCAGAATAAAACCGAGACATACTTTACATGGGTTAGAAATGACTGCTAGCAAAAGGAGAGCATTGGAGGCTTTGAAGCACCTTCCTACCGTGGAAAACTTGGAAATGGACCAGATGGATTACTGGGAAGATAAAAACATTGATATCAAAAAAATCCTTGATGGTTCGGAGGCACTGAATATGAGTCATGCTGGAGGAGAGTTCGAGCTGTTGGCCCAACAAATGAAGTCGGACATCTTACAAAGGTGAGTAAAACGCATCTGGTTTAATAGATTTGCTGTGCTTACCATTGCCAGCTGTCTTCAACATTGTAAACCATGGCGTCAAGATCATCAAAATTGCCGTGATCGAATTTTATGTAGGGTCAAAGCCTTTGATAAGCAACTTGCAACACTGATAGATGCATACATGGAGTGGTGTTACAAACATAAGGGAAGTGCTGACCATGGCTTGTTCAGAGATTATTATCAGTCCAACTCAGAGGCATCAGAAGGTGCTGGCAGTGTTAAAGTCAAAGTGGTAGACATTTACTGTGAGTCTTTGTCTACTTGTAAGCGAATCTCACAGGTACCAACAATATGGTTTGATCAGACGAAGTCATATGGCTTCCTTGGCAGCATTTGTGAGTGCAACATACTCTGCTTTGGTACTTGATAAGCTAATCATTGATTGCTTCTTAGAGCTCCAGGATACAATGCTGCCTTTGTACATGAAAATTTATCCGGAGATGGGGTATTGATGGGGTTGGGATGCTCAATCAATATCCGAATGACCGGATAGGTTTTTATTTGTATCACCCAGGGTAAGTTTGTAGTTAGCTGTTCCTTTTATATATCTGAAGATGCATTTTACAGCTTGCCAATGAATTTGGCCTGGGTTATTTGAAAATTGAGGTAACAATGAGACAGCAAATGCAATGTCTTGCCTCATTCCTAGAATAAGGTACATTAGCTTGCTGATTGCCTCTCAATATGGTATATTTGGCTTTGATTCATTTTTGCAAAGACATTGATCCGTTGATAGGTTATTTCCTATCTCAAGGGGTGTGGTGACAGGCTTACATTCTTCCATGCTAAAGTGTGTTAGAGACAATTCTATGTATGCCTTTTGTGAGAGTGTAATTGTTTTTGTGGTGCGATTACGAGTGATTTGAATTTTGAGAAGCCAGTAAATAGGACCAAGGTCGGTGATGTCATATTTTTTCTTTATTTGTTGCTTTAATTCAATTATAGCATGCACAGGTTCTGCCATTATTGCCATGTCATCAACTTACACACCAACAGCTATATGGCCTTTACTGTGTTTTTCTAATGAAAACAGCATGGTCATGTTTTGAACATATAAAGTACATGTGTTCAAACATTTTTGTAAGTTGTTTGTACCATCCTAGACCTGCTTGCTTAAGCCCATATAATTCTTTCTTTAGCTGGCATACTAGGCCTTGCTGACTGTCTTTAAGGTAGCCTGGGGGATGGTGCATATATATATCTTCTTCAAGGTATGCATTTAAATATGCACTTTTGACATCTATCAGATGTATTTTCCAGTCCTTCACAGCAGTGTATGCAAGTATAGTTCAATGAGAGGTTAGGCAGGCAACTGCAGAGTAAGTTTCATTGTAATCAATGCCATACTTCTGTATATTGCCATTAGCAACCAATCTGACTTTGTATCACAGAATCTCTCCTTGAGCATCATACTTTATTTTTGTGACATAGTGGCAGCAAATGATGTTGGCATCAAGTGGGGGTTTTACTAACACCCATGTTTCCAAAATTTCCAGCTGCTTCAATTCTTTGTCAATAGCTTGCTGTCATTCAATAGCATTTGGTCCATTTAGGGCCTTATTTATGCTGGGGCTATCATTTGGGTGATCAACAAGGAGAGCAGATGCATTCAGTGCTTTGTAGTAACCGGGGGGCTTTATGGTGGTTCCTTGTCTGGATCTTCTCACTTCAGGTTGATGGCTAGAATTAGGTGCGTTGTGATTTGTTTCAGTGGGATTTATGATGTTGATAGGAAGTGATTTTTTGTTCATAATTTTGTTGTCCTGAATAAACCAGTCCTCCCCTTCAATTTTGGCAACATCTCTTCCAGTTGTCTGGGGTTTGAATGTGTAGTTTTGTTCTACACTGACTGTTTTTTTGTTTGGCCAGTAGACTCTAATGGCTTTACTTTGGGTATTGAACCCCACAAAATGTCCAGCCTTGGCTTGTGGATCTGGTTTGCCAGCTGAGTTGTCTTTTATATAGACCTCTGCACCAAATTCACAAAGATTGGCTAGATTTGGTTTTTTGCCCAAGGCCATTTCATACGGGGTTTTTTCTTTAATTGCTCTGGTAGGTGATTGGTTTCTGAGCCAGTTCGCTTAATTGATGGCTTTGTCCCATAGAAACTTTGGAAGTTTGGCATCAATCAATATAGCCCTAGTATGTTCGAATAGGGTTTTGTTGAGACGTTCAGCAACACCATTCTGTTGTGGGGAGTCATGGACCATCAACTCTCTAATGGTTCCTTAATCTTTTAGGTGAGTTTCAAATAATTTATCAAGGTATTCTCCACCCCAATCTGATCTCAGTATTTTTATCTTTGTATTTTGTTGTGTTAACAACCAGGCTTCAAACTATTTGTATATTTACATGGCTTGGTCTTTGCTGCATAGGAGGCGTATGTGGGATTCCCTTGACCAGTCATCCATAAAAAATATAGTGTATCATTGCCCTTTAATATCTTCCACAACTGCTGGTCCCCAGAGATCTGAATAGATTTTCTCAGCGTAGGTTGAAGCACGGGTATACAATTCTTTAGGGAACAGTTTTCTGTTTGCTTTGGCCATAATGCAGGGTTCACAGAATGTTTCTGATTGGGATACATCTAGTTATATCCCTTGGATCATTCCAGATTCTACTTGATGTTTTGCAGATTGATAGGATATGTGACCCATTGATTGTTACAACCAAGAGTTTGTATACTCTGGCCCACAACTCAGACAAAGCTATAAAGAAGTGAGGAGAGTGGTTACCCTTTGGATAGGACCAAGTTTGTTGTGGGTAAACAACAGGAGGACTCGCTAAGGAGTCTCCTTGATCTATGTGGTATATATACTACTACAGGTTGTTTGTACATGTGTACTATACAGTTGATGGGAGCAGTGGCCGATGATATCATAGGGTACAGCCCGTGTGACCAGCTCCACTGCGTGAGAGACTTTTTGTAGAAAAAAGCAGTGCAGCACAAAAAAGTGGAGTTTGAATAAAATGGAAAGTGCCGCATGGCAAAGTGTGTGAAAACTACACAAGAAAGTTAAAGAGGAGAATGAAAATTAAAGGTCCGAAAATTATGTATTGTCACACTACCCCCCTTCTAAGGCTTGACTTGCAGGCAAGACCAAGTACTGGAGGTGATAGTTAAATGTTTGGGCATAGGTTGAAAAAGGAAACAAAAAGTGTTGGATTCTTAGAATAAAATGTTTGGACAGCATTGCGGGAATTGTCCAGATGGGCTTCTGGCTCCCATGTTCTGTCTTTGTCTCCATAGCGCTTCTATAGGACTAGGAACCCTAATTTTCCACGCTTCAAGCATGCATCCACCACTCATTTGACTTCAAATTCTTCTTCACCTTCCTGGGTGACTACAACTGGTCTGGGCTGGTCTACAGGCTGTCCTGGCAGTGGCCCTTTGTAGGGTTTTACACGGCTTATATTGAACGTGGGTACTACCCTCATTCGTTTTGGGAGTTCCAGCTCCACCGCGTTGGGTTTGACTTCCTTAATCCGGTAAGGGCCAATCCACTTTTCGGTCAGTTTTCTAGACTGCCGATCCTTTAATTTTAAGTGGTCAGTATCTAACCAGACCAGGTTGCTGACCTTGTAGTCAGGGGCCTTAGAGCATCTACACTCTGCCCTGTCTTTCATCTGCTCTGCAGTTTTGAATAGCGCCTTGCGCGTTTCGTCTAAGACAGATTTCATGTCCTTAGCCATGTTCCCTGCAGCCTCATTTTTGCTTTTACCAGGTTCTACACCTATTCTGTGGAGGTACAACCTAGTAACCTCGAATGGTGCCTTTCCTGTAGTCGACAACTGTTTGATATTATAAGAGAACTGGGCTATCTTTAGCCACTTGGCCCAATCTGTCTGCCTGTCATTAATAAATATTTGGAGGTATTGCTTCAACTCCTGGTTGAGTCTCTCCGTTTGTCCATTGGTCTGCGGATGGAACACCGTTGATAATTTAGGTTTGATGCCCAGCATCCGGCATAATTCTTTCGTAAACTCACTAGCGAATTGAGGTCCTCTATCGGAGGTAACCGTTTCTGGCAACCCATGGATGGACCATACAAAATCTATAAATAGATCTGCCGTACCAGTGGTGGTAATGGTTTTATTGGTAGGTATGAACACCACTTCTTTGGAGAAGCGATCCACTACTACCATTACTGAATCGTACCCATTTGACTCGGGCAGATCCGTTGTGAAATCAACCGATATATCCTGCCAGGGACCAGCTGGTATCGGGTTCGGCATAAGCTTACCAGCCGGCGGTTGGTGAGAATTCTTAGCCATGGCACATCTCAAACAGGATTTTACGTATTCCTGTACGTCTTTGACCATGCCAGGCCACATGTAGCTTCTGGAGATCAACTCCATTGTTCGTTGCCACCCAGGCTGCCCAGCCACTGGAGTGTCATGATGTCTATCTATTGCCTTGATCCTTGCTAACTCAGGCACATAGATTTTGTCTTTAAAATGGAAGAGCCCGTCTTCCCATAAATAGTTTTCATTGCCATCAAAGTGCGCCTTCTCTTCTAAGGAGATGTCTTTCTTGAAGACTTCCAGAAGATTCGAATCCTGCTCAATTCTAACATTGGCAACCCTTGATTGATCTATCAAGGTAACACCTTTGTTGTCATCTTTGATGTTGTTGGCATGATCCTCTCTTCTGGACAAAGTGTCTGCTTTCCCGACAGAGCTTCTAGGCTTATGAATTAATTTATAATTAAACCAAGACAAATATACCACGTAGCAGGCCTGTCTTTGATTCAAGTCTCGGGCCGTCATAAGATACTCCAGATTTTTATGATTGGTCCAAATTTCAAATTGGTGCCTAGCACCTTCTAAGTAGTGCTGCCAGTGCTCTAGAGCTCTAATAATGGCCAGCATCTCATTATCATATATTTGATAGTTGCGCTCTGTAGGCGACAAACTATACGATAAATAGGCACAAGGCCTCCAAAGATTGTCAGGGCATTTAATTGACAAAACGGCCCCAGTATTAAAATCAGAAGAGTCGGTTTCTAATCGGAACTCTTTGTCTAATTCTGGAAATGCTAATATGGGCGCCATTGTAAACACCTGTTTAAGCTTATCAAAATCTTCTTGTTCTTTGGCGCCCCAGTGCCAAAAAATGTCCTTTTTAGTGAGATCATTCAATGGTCTCGTGATTTTTGTGAAGTTTTTGATAAACCTTTTGGTAGAAATTCCCTAAGCCAAGGAAGGCCCTAACTCCTTTGACGCGAGTAGGTTCTGGCCATTCCAAGATAGCTTGAACTTTCTCAGGATCTATCCTGATTCCGTTCTGGCCTATGATCATACCGAGGAAGTCTACTTCCTTCACCTTAAAATTACATTTTTCGGGTTTGACAAATAGGTCCCGTTCCTGTAAGCGTTAAAGGACTTCTTGCACAATCCTGTCATGCTCAGCCTCATCGTCCGACTTTGTAAATATTAATAAATTGTCAATGTAAATGACAACACAGTTTTCCATATCCGCAAAGATCTCGTTCATCATGCTCTGGAAGGTTGCCGGTGAGTTGGTCAACCCAAAGAACATAACAAGGGGTTCAAAGGATCCTCGGTGGCACGTGAACACGGCCTTCCAAGCATCTTCTTCTTTGATTCGTACATTATTGTACCCCCATCTGAGATCCATCTTTGTCAAGATCTTGGCACCAGCCAATTTGTCTACTAGCTGACTGATTAAAGGCAGTGGATACGCATTTTTAACCGTGTTCTCATTCACATAACGATAGTCCATAATCATACGCTTCTTACCATCCTTTTTAGGAATGAAGAACACCGGGGACGTCATAGGGCTTTTGGAAGGTCTGATGTAACCCTTCCTAAGCTGTTCGTCTATGAAACTTGATACCTCATCTCTTTCTGGAGCAGAGAGGGGAATCATGTGTCCTTTTCTCGGTTTGAACGTGTCCTTCAAATCTATTGCATGGTCCCAAGGCTTAGCCTCTGGGAAGTGTTCCGATTTATGTTTAGAAAAGACTTTCCAGAAGTCATGGTACTCGGGAGGCACCAGCCTCTTAATCTTTTCTTCGGGTTTTACCTCATCATCGTCATTGTTGATCTTTTCTAAAGATCTGAGCTCATAAACGTGACCAGTGTTTATCTTTTCAATACGCTTATTGTGATGGACATGATTTGGTTTACCCAAGTTTACACACTCCTGAGGGCAACGTGACAATGTGACAACCTCTGTCTGCCAGTCAATCTCAGGATTGTGTTTAAATAGCCAGGTTCAGCCTAAGATTAAATAAATCTTCCCTAGTTGGGTAGCCTCGGCGGTGACTCGTTCTCTGTGTCCTTGGTATTCGACAACAAAAGAACATTTGTGCGTGATGCAGCCACCCGCGTTAAGTGTACCGTCAACGTTATAGACAGGAATAGATATATCTAGTTTTACAAGGGGGAGTCCAATTTGCTCCGCCCAGACCTGATCTACGAAAATTCCGTTAGCGCCTGAATCAAGCAGTGCACTGGTTGGGTGTACTATGCCTCGAGCGAGGTTTTCCACACCGACGTCTAAACAGATTTCTTCTTGGAATAAATACGTGCGCATCAACACACGCCTTGGGATTTTGGGAAAGGGTGGCTCCAAAGAAGAAGAAAGGGTATCAAAAGTTACATGTTTTTATATTTTATTTTTACCAGAATCAAGCACCCTAGTGTTTGTCTCGCCAGGGCCACGCTCCAAGGGAGACACTGGTGCAGCGGTAGTATCATTAATTTTACAGTCACATTGCTTCATACAAGTATATACTTCAGATAGCAAATTTAAAAATCTATTTACAAATTGGGGAGCCATCCCCGTCTTTCCTTTATTGCTCATGCAACACCCCGGAGCAGGGGCCACCTTGTTGTGGTTTACTTCATTGTTCATAGGAGCGAAGGCACTCAAGTGACCTATGTTCTGAACTCTTTTCCCTGAGCCTTCATTTCATTGACCTGCTGGTCATAGAAAAAGGCCCGGATTGTGTTGTATGAACGACCGGCCAAAGAGTTGAGCCGATTGTCCGGTTTTTTGGTTTCTAATTGGCGCGCCTGGCGTCCTTGGTTATTTTTTTGTTGAGCGGCCTGCACTCCTTTTCTGCAGTCTCGGGACATGTGTCCCTCTTGGCCGCAATTGTAGCAGTTCCCTTTGAATCTGCGCATCTGTCCCTCTTGGACCATGCCGATATCCATTGGGGCTCCCTGCCCTGGTTGCAGCCCGAACGGCTTGAACCCGTGAGAATGTTTATATTGGTTCGATGACCCAGGGCGCATCTGGGATTTGTTGTTTATAGTGGTGGGCCCGCCACCTTGGTGCATTTGGTAAAGCTCCATGGCTCTACCAATTCTTCGTACTTCCTCAGCCGCCAGGGCCAAGTTCTCATTTCTAGCATCCTGCAGATAGATCTGTTCTGCAATGTGAGGGTTCACATTGCATTCCAGCAGTTCTACTGCGTGTTCATTTCTGAGCCCTCCTTGGATGGAGAGGGCCAGGAACCGGGTAATGTAATCATCCGTCCTCATATTTCCTTGTTTGAAGGAACGGATTTGCTGACGTGCCCAGTCACGCTCAGCTTGTGGTTTGAAGTATTTTTCGATCTCCTTCTTGAGATCATCCCAGGTCGGCCACACTCCCGCAGTGTAGCATTCCTGCAATCTAACTTGGGCGTATCGACCCGCCACAGGTCCTTTTAGTCGAGATAGCACCGCAGTGGCTACCTCAAAATTGTCGGCAAATGCATCCCAATTTGCCTTGACCCAAATTTGGAGCTTGATCCACCACTTGGTGAATTGTGCTCTGTCTCCTTCGAAGGCGCCAGGGTCAGTGACGACTTCGACTTTCTTGTTGAATTTCTTTTCCACCAAGGGGGTTGCCGCAGGAGGGTTCGTCTGCAGCTCGGCGAGTTGCGAGGTCAATGTTGCATCTGCGTACGCATGGCGTGTAGCAGAGCATTCATATCTTGTTGCAACAACATGTCGACTTGTTCTCTTTGTGAAGTAATAAAAAAAATGTAACTGGGGGTCCTCGCTTGCTATCTGCGGATCAACCTCTTCCCAGCTGAGTATTGGATCTCAATCTCCGACTACCCACACTATAGTATTTGAAGTTTTTATATAAAAGGTATTTGTAATAAACCCTGGTCCGAACGGTTGTCAGGGGGTGGTCCGCTTGTTAAGCTGTCAACCCTTCTCCAACTGGCGGAGGCAAGTGCCCGGCCTGGTCAGAGGAGAACAAAGAAGAAATTTTGTATGTAAATTCTAATCAACAGCGGTTCCACACCAACTGCTGAGCTAAGTACTCCCCTTAACACTGGGGGCCGCGTATCGCAGGCTTTGGTTCTTCTCCCAAAGCACTACAAGGCCGTCGCGAAGAGCGCACCTATCTGCTATGCGGGATATTCCCAACCAATAACCAAATCTCCTTCACCCTGGAGTCCGGGTGCCCAGTGGGACTTTTTGCACAAACGTGCGAGAGAGTAGAAGAGTGAGTCCTAATGTAACAACCAAGAGTTAGTTACTCTGGCGCACACAGGAACACACTATAAAGAGAATGAAGAGGGAGTGGTTACCTTAGGATGCAGAGAGTTAGTTGGTATACAACAGGAGGACTTGCTGAGGAGTCTCCTGGATCTATTGGGGTATATATACTACTACAGGGTTATTTGTACATATGTACTATACAGTTGATGGCAACAGTGGCTGATGATGTCATGGGGCCTAGCCCGCATGGCCAGCTCCACTGTGTGAGAGAGTCGTATCTATAATAAGACAAAAGGCAACGCGGCGTGAGAAAGAGGAGTTTGGACCAAAGGGGAAGTGTGCGTGGCACCATGTGTGAAAGCTAAAGTACAAGGTTAAAGCGGAGAATAAAATAAAGGGAAGGTCCAAAAATTGTGTTATCGTAACATTCAGGCCAATCCAAAATAGCTTGAACTTTCTCAGGATCCATCCTGATTCCATTCTGGCCAATTATCATACCAAGGAAGTTCACTTCCTTCATTTGTGTTTGACAAATAGGTCCCGATCCTGTAAGTGTCAAAGGACTTCTTGCACGATCCTGTTATGCTCAGCCTCATTGTCCGACTTTGTAAATATTAATAAATTGTCAATGTAAATGATCTCACAAAACTAGCCAAACTTGATGATATCAAGATCACAATGGCTTTCATCAATGTCTTAAAAGAGGCTCACTGTTACAATTGACATACCAGCACCTACTTACACTTCACTTTTTGTACTTTTACTTTACTTTTTCCAAGTCACATGACCAGTCATGTGACCATTTACTTTACTTTACATTTTCGGACTTTTCATAGTCACATGACCAGTGTCTAGACTCATCATGTGACCGGTCACATGCTAGACATTGGACTTTAAATTTTACTTACAACTGTGCAGTACCTCATGTATTTTAGTATATATACTGGAGCAATACATGGGGAGGGACTCAGCGAGTCCTCCTGTTGTCTACCAACAACTAACTTGCCAAAACCTAATGGGTAACCACTCCCACCTCTTCCTCTTCTTTTGAGTGTTGTTTTCATTGTGCTCCAGTGCCCCAAGACTGTGTCTTGTTGGTGTTGTCACACTCACCTCGAAGACAGCCATATGCGACTTGACCCAGAGGCCCTTGATCGCCTGCAAAACCCACCACAAGAACCATGTCTTCTCAAAAGTCCCTACAAATGACTTGCCCCGGATCTTTTCATAGCAACCCCCAACGCTTCAGAGGAGGTCTACAATCAAATATGTAACGCCTACCGCCGCTTACATCCAGGAAATCCTTTAAAGATCCACTCTCACTATTGTATCAAGCATTGTATGGCCGAATTGAGCAGTGTTGAGCCGCTTATGCATGACATGTGCGTCAACACATACCTTGCATATACGGGTCCCTTTGCAAACCTCGATGTCTGTCCCATGTGCCTTTAGCCTAGATATGATGAAGCCATACTTGCTTGCTCTAAGGGGGAAAAAAAGGTATCGCTTCAGCAATTCCACACCATGCCCATAGGCCCTCAAATCCAAGTTTTATGGTGTGACTCGGCCAGAGCAGATAACATGAGATACTGGGAGTCACGTACTCAGGAACTTATTGAAGAACTAGAGCTCAATGACAGCGTTCTTGGTGCTTATGACGACATCTTTGCTGGTAGCAACTACCTCAATGCTGTCGCGGATGGCCATATTCAACCTAATAACCCAGTGCCGATATTCTTAATGGACGGTGCCTAATTATACGGGAAGAAAACATCAAACTGCTAGATATATATCAGGGTAGTGTTTGACCTTTCCCCAGATAAACGATATAAAAAAAACATCACATCCCAGGGCTGAACAAACCCAAAAACATTGACTCTTTCTTATTCCCAGATCTACATCATTTATTTGCCATCCAACGTGAAGGATTATAAATCTGGGATGCCTCAAGAAACATCGTATTCACATCAAAATTGTTCCTTGCACTTGTCACAGCAGATGGCCCCGCCATGGCACAGTGGCAAGTTTGGCTGTCAATTATATTGTGAACTTCCTGGTCGACTCAAGGCTCAAAGCAGTCACTACAGCCCAGCCCTACTCAAGCCATCGGGAGATTACAATATCTCTGGCTGCACTCACAACAACATTGATCCTTACAATTTCCCTGCTGTATCATCACAGATGTACCTTGACAATCTTACCACTCTCACAGCTGCAGAAAATGAGTCACAATATTGGAAACTATGCTTAAAAATGGGGTTCAGCAAGCCGGAAATATTCTTAGGCCTGGCAACCAATCAAATACTTGGAATTCCGAACTCGTTCAGTTCTGATCTCATGCATCTTGTGTCCCTAAACATCCCTGATCTCTTAATTCCCCTCTGGCGCGGGACACTAGACTGTGACAAAACAGACAACAAGGATCTTTGGACATGGGCTACATTGTAAGGAGAAACATGGATTCAACATGGTAGAGATGTAGCTAGCGCTGCTAAGCATCTACCAGGCTCCTTTGACCGTCTACCCCAAGACCCTGCAGAGAAGATATCGAGTGGATACAAGGCTTGGGAAAACTTACTATATATATACGGGTTAGGCTCTGCTTTTTTGTATGGAATCTTGCCAGTCAAACATTGGAGCAACTTCTGTAAACTTGTACGAGGAGTTTGTCTTATGCATCAACACAAAATCAAGGTTGAGAATATCACTCAAGCTCATAATTTATTAGCAACTTTTGTACTAGAGTTTGAAGCACTATACTACCAGAGACAAAACAACTGGTGATGTGATGAATAGAACTGTAAATGAAAAGACTCTAAAGGAATGTGTAAGTATGTGTTTAACTGTAATAATGACATCAGGAAAAATGGGGGTAGCTATATAGAGCTCTATAGCACTATTAGTACTCATCTCTATAAATGCTCTTATAGATGTTGGAAATTGTTGTATGGCTGATAAAAAAAAATTCACACAGACAGGATTTGAACTCTCAACCTGCTAGTCAGCTTTTAGGTGACTAAGCAACCTATAACCACACATCACATTTATCCACTACACCATGAGAGCTTATAAAATATATTATACAGGTGTTATATTTTGACCTTTTATGGACTTAGATTTTTTTAAATCATTGTCACCACTTATATTTGGATAAATTATTATTATTATTTTATAAATATCAAAGATACAGACTACTATTTCATTAATACAGGCTACATAAATAATTAATACTGTATGATTTATTAGCCCTTTTAAGCACCTTGAACTATATTATAACTATGACCTTTACAACTATAGGAGCTATGTAGGCTGCTATAGGCTATAAGAGCACTTATAGTAACTTGCCTATAATAATATACTTGACTCCAAACACTTCTTGCCTCTTTCTATTATTGAACAAGTTTATTAGATTAATCCAGAGTTTGAGGGGATTATAGATACTTCTCCCCTTGGTTAAATTTTTGCCTACTACTGTGTTATAAGAGCTATAAGAGCTATGATTGCACTGATAGTACTATAGTTTCTACAAATGCATTTATATATATAGGTGGTGGCTATATAGCGCTATATAGCAAAAGGGTTTTTCCTGATGGATGAAACTATACCTCAGTCTTTCTGGTAAATGTCTGAGGTGTTTAAGGTAAGATGAGCGCACTTTTCTATATTCTAATTAAGAAACTTATATAATGTATCAAAATGTCGGAATAGTTGAATGAAAATGAATGAAAGAATGGAAAATATATAGTAGTGTCCATGATATGCCAACACACCCCCTCAAACTGAACTCACTCCCATCATCTTAACAAAATATTCTAGCTTGGGTTGAGCCAGTGGTTTTGTAAGGCAATCTGCAGGCATTTCTTCAGTAGGACAGTAGAATATTTGAATAACTCTGTTTTCTACAGTTTGTTGAATGAAATAAAAGTGGATGTCAATATGTTTGGTCCTTGAGTGGTACACATTGTTTTTTGTTAATTCTATAGCACCATGGTTGTCGCTGTGCAGAGGGATTGGTGGTTGCAATGGATTATTGGTTATTTCAGCCATATATTCTTGAGCCAAATTGCCTCTTTTGTTGCATGTGTTAGCACCACATATTCGGCCTCTGTTGTTGATAGAGTAACTATCGGTTGGGTTTTGCTATTCCAGGATACTGCACCACCATTTATTCGAAAAACATAGCCAGAAATAGAGTGCCTATGGGCATGTGAGGCATAGTCGGCATCTGTGAAACTGATGAGTCCCTCCTGGTTCTGGCCAATTAGTAAGCAATGGTTTCTTGTTGCCTTGAGATACCTGAACAATTGCTTGGCTGCTTCCCAGTGTGTGCATCCTGGATTCTGGAGAAAATGTGATAGAGACAAGATGGCGAAGGATATATCTGGTCTTGTTGCAAGAGAGTGATACAAGAGGGAGCCTATGGCTTCCCTGTAAGGTATGTTTTTCATTTCCTCCAATATGGCTGTTGTCGAGGGAGACTGTGTTGTGTCGAACAGAAGGCCTGGTTTGATGGGAGTAGAGATCGGTTTGGCTTTTTCCAGGCTGAATCTTCTTAGGACTGTATCAATATAGGCTTGTTGTCTGAGTGAGATGGTATCGTTTATGTGGTCTCATTTGATTTCTATTCCCAGCAGCCAGCTGATTTCACCAAGGTCCGTTATGTCATACTCTTCTTTTATCCCGCTCTTAAAACCCTCTATTAGCTCCTTGGAACTTCCCACGATTGCCTTGTTATCGACAGACACAGAGACAATAATGCCTCCACTGTTGCTATATTTGATGAATAGTGCATGGTTGTATTCAGATTTTTCAAAGCCAAGTCTTTTGAAAGTTGTGGTAAGCTTTTCATACCATTGCTTTCCAGACTGTTTTAATCCATATAGATCTTTCTTTAACTTGCAGACCAAGCCTCTTTGGTTCGCTTTCAGATATCCTGTTGGTGGCTGCATATATACATCCTCAGTCACTTCTGCGTTGAGGTAAGCTGACTTGATGTCAATCTGATGGATTTCCCAGTTGAGAGCGGCTGTATGAGCGAGTACAAGACAATTTGTTGTCAATTGTGAGACGGCCGAGTATGTTTCAGTGTAGTCTGTCCCATATATTTGGGTGCTACCATTTGCAACCAATCTCACTTTATATTTTAGGATGTTTCCATTTGGTCCTTGCTTGATTCGTGTCACGCAGTGCGAGCAAATGATGTTAGCGTTCACTGGTGGCTCCACCAGGTCCCAGGTATGCAATTTTTCTATCTGTTTTATCTCTTCTTCTATGGCTGCTAACCACTCCGTTTTGTAGCGCCCGTTTAGCGCCTCGGTAATAGAGGGTGAGTTGTTTTTGGACGACTTGGCAGCTGCGTCAGCCGCTGCCATAGCATACTGGTGAGTCGCTGCCTTACTTTCCTCTGTATCTGATGTCCATGCGAGGTTTGCGCGCCCATTTTTGTGTAGGTTTTGGCTGATCACAATGTGGATGCTCCTGGGCCTTGAGAATGGGGTGGATGGGTCCTTGTTTGACTGGATGAGGCTCATTAGGTGGGTTTGGCGCTGGTTTGAGGACCGCCGGTTTGTCTTAGGCTAGCACTTGTGCCAAAAACACAGGTGCCTTGTCCTCATGTTCCTCGCTTGCTAATGGATTCATTTGCAGGTTGTTTTTGTCCGGTTCTTCAACCGCATCAAGCAGAAGCGGGTCATTTTGCGGCAGTGGTTCGAGCTGCTCGTTTGGATTGGAAACGACATCTTGTTTGATGGAAATGGTGCGTTTGTCTGGCCAATATATGCGGTACCCCTTTGATTCTGAGTCATATCCTACCCATTTTCCAATCTTAGCATGGGATTCAAGTTTTCCCGCATTTAGGACTTTAATGTAGGCTGTACACATACCATTTCATATGGTGTTTTGCCTTTTAGGGCCTTTGTAGGTGATCTGTTTTTGATCCAAACTGTGTGCTTAACTGCTTCACCCCACAGCATTCTGTGCATGCCAGCAGATATTAGCATGGCTCGAGCTAGCTCGAGTAGTGTTGTTATTCTGCGGCGCCATTTTGCTGGGGCAAGTCATGAATGGTAAGTTCACGTACAGTTCCTTGTTTTTCTAGATGCTGATTATATTCATCACTTGTGAGCTCACTGCCCCTATCAGATCTGAAGTGTTTGACTTTGGTACCATCTTTTTGAGTGTTGAACCATACTTTGACGGATTGGTACATTCTTAGGACCTTGTTTTTGTGGGCGAGCAGATATATATGTGATTCACGAGAGTAATCATCCGTGATTGTCAGCATGTATCATTTGCCTTTTATGTCCTCAACTGAGGCAGGTCCCCATAGGTCCGAGTGGAGGTGTTCTCCATATGTTGTAGCACGAGTGTAGCTAATTTTGGGAAATGGTCTCCTTTGGGCTTTAGCTCTGACACAAGGCTCACAAAATTTTACAGCAGCTGATGGATCAATTTCTACTCCTTCGACCATTCCTGACTTTATCAAGTGTTCAGCTGCTTTGTGTCCAATATGACCCATCTTTCTATGGAGTTCATTCATGTTTAGCCTTTGATTTGCTACATTTGCTTCGTGCGTGCCACATTTGTCTGTTTTTGAGAACTGATACAGTCCTTTGGATTGTGGTATTATAGCAATGACTTTCCGTTGTGGCAGTGGAGTTTTTATCATGCATGCACCGTTCTCGATGTGTATAGCATATCCAGCATTGTCCATACGACTGGCTGAGATGAGTGTTTGGGCCATTTCTGGGCAATATAGTGTTTCTTGCAATTGCACACGAGAATAGCTGTCCCATTTGGGAGATTGATCATGACTGTGCCTTTTCCACTGGCATACATAGTTCAGCTATCTGCTAATGCGATTGGGATAGGATTAATGCAGCTGATGCTTTCAAACAAGTGCTTATCTGGACAGTAATGATTGCTGGCTCCGCAGTCTACCAGAGTATTGTATGATGGATTTGATGAAGATGCTTGAGAGGCTGTTGCAACAAATGCATATACTTCATCATTTGTGACACTTTGTGTGGTAGCAACATTTGCAGCTGGGGCAGGAGGATTTGTATCTGGTGCTTTAGTGGTAGGTTTTTGGCTTTGAGGACGTTGGCCCTCCTTTCCACCACCCGGTCTATAATAGTATTCAACTGTATGGCCCGTTTTAATGGGGCATTTGGGGTTTGTACACTTGAAGTGTTTGTGTCTCTCTTGCCTCGTCATCTTTGAATATGATTTAACAGCCATAGCAGATTCCCTTTTGGATTTTGAGGCTATGCTTCTGTGGTCTGCTGAAGATAGTGGGTGTTTCAAGATGCGAGCTGCAGTAGTGATTGATGATAGTAGAGGGCGGTAAGAAATTGGTAGTGAAGACAGTATCATTGCTGAAAAGTCTTTTTTGTCTACCGGAGCACCCATGCTAGCTAACTCTTCTTTTAGCCTTAGCATATCCCCCAAGTGGCTCCTGACATTGCCGCTTTCAGGACATCTAAGATTCTGCAGCCTTCATTGAATATCCACTTGCATCATTTCTGACTTGCCTTTGTGCATTTTGGTCAGAGTGTCCCATATTGCAGCTGCCAAGATCCTGTCCTGTATCTGGATTAAGGTCTTGTCGTGTATGGTTGAGTATAGTCGTTGTGTGACGAGGCATTCCTTTTGGGCATATTCATTCACTTTAGCCTCATACTCCTCTATTTGCTTTTCAGTTATTACTGTTCCATCATCCAGTTTAGCTACACCTGCCGAGTGATAATTGTAATTTTTGATAGGTAGCTACCTGGCAGATCCTAGTAGGAATCTAGATAGTCCTCTTGCTCCAACAGCAGTAGTGACTCTTGTTTTGTATGAGATCCAGTTCGAACCATCCTTTGCTAGTTTGAAAAGTAGCACTCAAAGCATTGCCGGTGAAAGTCATGTCACCAGGGCTCATAACCTGATGTGATGAATAGAACTGTAAATGAAAAGACTATAAAGAAATGTGTAAGTATGTGTTTAACTGTAATAATGATGTTACTATACCTCAGTCTTTCTGGTAAATGACTGAGGTGTCTAGGATGAGTGCGCTTTTCTATATCCTAATTAGGAAACTTATGTAATATATCAAAATGTCGGAATAGTTGAATGAAAACAAATGAAAGAATGGAAAATATATAGTAGTGTCCATGATATGCCAACAACCGGCTCCATTTTATCCAACCTGCTCTTCACTCACTGTTACATATAGCCTCCAAAGCTGTCCGAGCAGGCCCTCCCATCTATTCCTTGTAGTGGACTATGGAACAAATGATCGGCAACCTAGGGCAAGAAATTCATCAACATTCTAATCCATTCGCCAATTTATCCCAATGAGCTATTCTCCGTGCGCAAGTCAATGCCTTAAAGGCTATAATCCCTGATCTGGCACCTGTTGTCTAATTACCTCGAGGAGCTAAAAACATTGGCAATGGATATCTTCTCCTGTGCAAGTGAGACCGCACTACATGAGTTCTTTGTGAACGTGAAGTCTGTAGTCTCAATGTATTCGCCAAAGCCCGTCACTTCAAATTTTATCTTAACACCTGTGTACAAAAATGGGCCAGAATTTGCCTACCAACAGGTCAGATTTCCCAATGCGTCTGGGGGGAAAAGACACCAGGCGACCAAACTCTTCGACCTTCACGACATGTCAAGGTGATTTATTTTTGTTAAGTTACCTGTGATTCTTTTGCTGATCATGTCTGCATAGATTGACTTACACGGGTGCCTTTGATTTGCTGAGGTGCTATATTACATGCAGCTCACAGTAAATGACAACATGCATACCATTGCAATGGTCTCCTTATGGTCTCACCCCAATGAAGAACTTCTACAATATTTGTTCTTTACAGTCTATTCCTGCAAACACCAAGGTGATTTGGGGCTGTGTGTTATTGATGTAAAATCAATATTAGCTGTTGTCGCTATGGTGCCACATCAATTACAAGGCAAGGATAGATATTGTGTGTGGAGAAACCTGGTTTAGATGTGGGTATCATAGGAGGTCACACAGAACCTGACGAGAATGATGGGAATGTAGATGATTAATAATTAACCATACAATTTCATATACATACAGTGTCTACTCGGATCTATGTACTGTCTCTTTTACGCTTGATACTATGTCCCTCCCTCTTGTCTCCAGAAATATCCATCTGCCTTTAAACAATCCTAGCCCTATCTGCCAAACGTGCGCGATAAACTTGGTACCCTATGGTTGGAAGTGTTCCATTAACTAAAGGTTGATGTTCTGGGTGGTGTTTGTGGTCACAATGTTGTACCAGGAGCACAGAGGGCTATGCAATGATAGATTTCTCTTCTGGCTCCTCCAAGGGTTTCCTAGAAAGAATATTAAGTAAAATAAGCATGTAAAACAATCAGATCACTTACAAAATGCTATCAGTCAATGTACGATCGGGATCAACTAGAGCTGTACTGTTTATTTTGATCACAAAAGTCTTTCCACGCCATTTGAGAGAAAAATTAGATATAGATAAGATTATGCTTACCATAGGGCCAGGTTCCGCTTGGAGTGAATGTAATAGAATTTGGATCCCAGTCAGGAGGTATATTATCTACATGCAAAACCAATATATTATTGGCTTGAGATATCAACATGTTATTGTGAGGAGTGTTATTGATGGGAGTGAGATTGTTATTAGTATATTACCCCAGTCAAATGAAATCACATGGGTTTGGCCCACACGGCCACCTAAAAAATAACCCCAACTTTTCTCCCAAGTTCTCTGTCTCCTATAACCATGTCTAACAGCACTCTCTCATCATTGTCCTCATCTGCTTCACTCAAAGACTCGAATATGTTGTTTTTTTCTCCTTGCCATCCATCGCCAATTAATAACAGACTTGTACCGCTATATCTATCGGTAGCAATTAATTTTGCTCACTCTGATCAAGAAAGTTCAGGTAGCATTGATTACCTAGGCTCCAACAGAATTATTAAAATAGATTACAACATGGGCTCACAGGCGTCTCAGTATGTTCCTAAAAGGGTCCATCAGCAGGTACTCGAAGATCTGTACAAATGCCAAAAAGAATTACAATTAATAAATGGGAAATACAAGGGACTCATGTGACTATTTTCTGTAGTAACTAGAATTTATTGACTGGTAGATATTTTACAGGCATGGCTACAACCTATTGTTAGCTACAAGAACCTTACAGGCCTCTTTGGCGCCAAAAGAATATTTGTCCAGATAATAGATGGAGAAATCATCGATGGAGATCGAGCGACTTTGATCCGGGCTTGGCTGCATGACTCCTTTGTATACCTCATGGAGATGGGAGTTGCTCTGGAAACGTGGTCGGTCAGCGGCAGGTCTTGGAATCAAAAATAGTTGCTTGGGTGGGATCTCAAAAAAATTTCCGGAACTCACTTACTGCGAAGGAAATTGGAAACTGACCAAAATCATCTCCAATAACTACCCGGCCTGGTATGCAAACACAAAAGAAAGGGACTTGGATGTGACAATGGAAGATGACAAAGCCAATGGAGTGGTGCCTGCATGTATTATTGGCAAACACAAGCTAGAAAAACCGACAAATAGTGCGACACCCAAAAAAGTCAAGGTTTCACAGGACAGTCTAGACAGCCTTTACAGTCTCGACAATGAGGAGAATCCCGTAACAGCTGGCAACCTTGGTGATCACAACACTTATATGGGAATCGGAGCTACAAAAGACAGGCTGGGTATCACTGATAAGATTACGGAGGTTGTAGAGAGGACCTTGATCTGGACAGCCACAACGAGAAACCGGTGGCTAGCAAACCTCTTGCGGTTAGTCACGGTGAAGACAACCAAGGCCTCAAAGATGACCCACACTATCAAGGAACAGGTCAGGCAGCTATGGCTAGTGGTGATGCCTCAATCAAAGCAACAACTATAGTCAGCAAGCCAATCAGATCAAAGTGGGAATTTTGCTTCTCCAAGGTCCCGCATTTTGAATATGGATTTGAGTTTGGCTTTTGTGATATCCATGAATTTTCAGGATGAAGCTCCTAGTAGGAGGTCATCTACATAGAAAACAACAAAGCATATTTGTTTGTTTTCCCGGAATACATAGAGACATGTTTCTGCATTTAGTCTTGTGAAACCGAGCTCCTGGAGCTTGCGATCAAAAGTTTTGTTCCATGTACGACCAGCTTGTTTTAATCCATAGATGGATTTCTTCAATCTCCAGCAGTATCCAGGTTGGATAGGAACACCCCATGGAGGAAGCATGTACAGTTCTTCTTCAAGTTCTCCATTGAGATAAGCTGTGGATACGTCCATTTGATCAAGTTCTAGGTTGTACTTTGCTGCCAGGGCTAGAATAATTCAGATCAACTCTAAGTTTACAACCAGAGCAAAAGCTTCCTGGTAATCAATCCCCTCCCTTTGAGTAAAACCTCGTGCAACAATCCGGAGTTTGTATCTCTCAATGTTTCCGTTTTGATCAAACTTGATCCGGAACACAGGTTTTGATAAGATGGGTTTTACTCCCTTCGGAAGTGGAACAGTGTCATATACTGCATTAGTATTGAGACTTAGGAGTTCCTCCTCCAAGGCAGACTTCCATAATTCTCCATCTGGACATGATAAGGCTTCCTTTAGTGTCCTTGGAAGGTATGTGTTAGATGGACCGGTACTTGCTATTCCAGCAAAGAATGTCTCCTCTGTATCAGATGTTTCTTCATGAACCTCATGAGTATTAGATTTCTCCATGGAGTTGTCATGCTGCTCTTTTCAAGACTGTTCCTCATTTAGAGTCCTTTGATAATCTTGGTTTTTGTCTGCAGGACGGGTCTGGCCACTGCTTCTGCGTACTCCTAGGACTTCAGCAGGCATGACTGCTCTTTTAGGAACTTGTGCAGGTACTCCAGGGAGTAGACGCATTTGTGTGTGTGTTGCCCCACTCACTCCTGAAGGTGTTAAATCACTCCTCGGAGGCGTTGGGTGACTCCTTGGAGGTGTTGGATGACTCCTCTGAGGTGTTGTATGCCTTCCAGAAGCTGATCCAATGGACAGGCTGTCTAGCTGTATTCGGACTTTTTCCACATCAGCTGGCTGTATGTTGAGGGGCTGTCCTCCCACTGACTGTGACTCTACTTTGGGTTTCCGTTCTGAAGATGGCCAGTGTTCAGGTCTTGGTTGTAGAGACTGTTGTGGAAGGTGTCTTAGCTGATCAGGTGCTCCCATTGCTCTCGGAACATCTTCATGCTGATATGGTACCATTGCTTGTGGAACATCTCCTTGGAGATGTGGTTCCATTTGCAATTCATTTGGATCTCGGATCCAAGGGTCAGGATTATCCTCCTCCAATATTTTTTGGTCTGGATAGTAAGCATTCTTTGGAATGAATCCCTCCCACTGATCTGTGCTAGTGTCTGTGTTTCAGAGAGCAGTGTCATCCTTTTGTACCTTTCCGGATTCATTGAATATGACATGCCGACTGGAAAACACAGTCCGTTTTTCAGTGTCTAGGAGTTTGTAGGCTTGCTTTCCATGTGTGTAGCCAATCATTATGGCTTTGCGCCCCTTGGAGTAAAACTTCCCTTGCCTTTTGTCTTTTGGAATCAAGGCATATGCTTGGCATCCGAAAGGGCGAAACAAAGTTGGATCAACTCTCCTTTTAAACAGTATTTCATATGGGGTCTTTCCATGGAGTCCTGATGCTGGGCTGCGTGCTGTGATATATGCAGCTGTTTGCATGGCATCTACCCAAAATGACTTTGGGAGCTTGGAATCATGGAGCATAGTGGTTGCTAATGTAGCCAATGTCTGATTCATGTGTTCTGCAATGTCATTTTGTTCCGGAGTATCTGCAACTGTAGTTTCTTGGATGACACCATCTCCTCGGAGTTGATTTTTGAATACATTGCCAGTATATTCTCCTCCCCCATTGCTCCGGAGGAATTCTGTATACAGTGGAGTGAAGTTTTCTTCTCCCTAATGAGTTCGGAAGAATGTTTGGACATCTTCTTTCCATTGCTTGTATCATTCCAGTGCCTCACTTTTATATTTTAGGAAATATCTCCATGGAAATTTGGAGAAATCATCTACAATGATAATCCAGTACCAAAAACCCTCCCTGGAAGTTGGTTTGATTGGTCCTCCAACATCCATGTGCACAATTTGTATGGAGCGCTTGGCTTGGTTTCCTCCAGTGGACTTGAAAGGTAATTTCTTCATCTTTCCTAAAGCGCAAGGTTCACAAAACTCTGGGGTTCCGGTAAGGGTGTCTATGTTCTGGAGCTGTCCTTTTGTAACCATTCATTGCAAGCGGTCCATTCCAATGTGTCCCATTCTCCTGTGCAATAAATTTACATCTACTGCTGCAAAAGCTGACTCCGGGTTGATTTTGGGTTTTGCTTGGATGTGATAAAGTCCTCACTTGTGTAAGGCAGTGAGGATAAGTTCCTCCTGTTTCCAAACTTCACAAGTGTTTGACCCTGCTGGAAAAAGTGTTGATAACCCTGTTTTGGACAATTTGTGGACAGACACAAGTGCTAAAGTGAAGTTTGGCACAAGTAAGACATTTGACAGTGCAATATTGTAGTCCTTTTTGCCAACAGTTGCTTGTAGGATTACTGCTCCAATGCCAATGGCATTTACAGAGGATTCATCCCCAAAACTGATTGTCCTCGGAGGATGCAGAACATGGTATGTTCCTGGCTCAAACCAGGAGCGGTGAGGGACCATGTGGGATATTGCTCCGGAGTCAATGATGATTGTTGTTTTGGTCTTATTGGGTTCCAACACAAGGTAAGCTTGAATGGGTTTAGCAAGAGGCTTGGAAATATGTACATGTTCCAATGCAATATGACTCTGTTCCTCCTCGGAGTCAGATCCAGATGATTGCTCCGCTGTATTTGCCTTTTCCTTCTCTTTTCCTTTATCCTTGTGTCTTTCCTTTCCCTTCTTCCTTTGACCTTTTCCAGCTGGCTGAAGTGTTCAACACTCCGAGGTGTTGTGTGATTTACTTTGTGGAAGTCACACCACTTCTCCTCGGGTTTGAGTGCTGATTTGGAACCTCCAGGGGCCTTTCCTGATTGTCGTGCAACCTCTGCAGTGATCCGGATCTCAACTGCATCAAAGGTAAGTTTATTTTCTTCAATCGTGTTGATTACCGATGACTGAAATATTTTCCATTTAGGAGTGCATGGGAGAGATTGGAGAAGAGCGGCCATAAGTTTGGTATCAACTCCTAATTTCATTCCAGAGAGGTGTGAATTAATTGTCCGGATTTTTGCAATGTGGTCCTGGATAGGTGATGTCCCATCCCAGGACAATTTGGTGAGTTGCTGGAATGAATAAAAGGCCAAGGCAATGTTGGACATCTGATGGAGTGAGACAAGTTTATCAAATAACTCCTTGGAGCTGGTGAGGTCTTCAGTCCTCATTAGGAGGGCATCAGAGATGTGGTCCTGGATGATTCCATGTTTTTTCTCATCCTTAAGTATCCAGGTGATCTCAGGATCCTCTGAGGAGGTAGGTTTTCTGACAAAACCGGATAAACCCGGTCTCTGCCGAAGCAGCCATTGTTCTCCATGGAGCATAGCCACCACTCCATGGAGTAACCATTGTTCTCCTAGGAGCACAATTGTACTCCTAGGAGTCATTATACTGTAGCAAGTAGCACCTCCGACTATAAGTAGTAGGGGGTTTAGTATAGGAATACCTCAGTCGTTTCTATAGCCTCTTGGGCAGCGGCTGAGTTTCACTTAGTTTTATTACAATGGATGTTAGTTTAAGGTGATCTCTAATAAATGTAATGTAACATACCTCAGCCGCTGCCCAAGAGGCTATAGAAATGACTGAGGTATTTCTATACTAAACCCCCTACTACTTATAGCCGGAGGTGCTACTCGCTATAGTATAATGACTCCTAGGAGTACAATTGTGCTCCTAGGAGAACAATGGTGACTCCATGGAGTGGTGGCTATGCTCCATGGAGAACAATGACTGCTTCGGCAGAGACCGGGTTTATCCGGTTTTGTCAGTCCTCATACCACCTCCATCCCAGTACCACCATGAACTTTTTACAGCAAGGCCCTATGTATAATTTTAACTGACTCTTCTGCAGGTCTGCAGGAACTTGTGGACTAGAAATGGGGTTCAAGATCATCCCACTAGACACAAGGTGGACTTTAACATCTTCTACAAGGACCTCCTGGAGGATTTGCAACGGGTAAGGTTGTTTCTCATATTCTCTGTATATTTGCTAACCCTTATTTTAGAAATATGCTTTAGATGCTGCTATTATGGTGAGTACCACAATATTTTACTGGTCTGCTAGTACTAATATCATACTATTTTGATTCTAGAAACTCAATGCAAAGGCATAATCATTATAATCATTTTGGTTCGGCAGATATCATTTTATTTCGAGTGAATTGCTGTAATTTGTTGTGTTTCGTTTTCATTTGTTTTTGATGCTTACTAATAAATCAATAGCTTTCGTTTTCAATGGTTTTGAGTCTGAATGGTCCTGAAATCAAAGAAAGACAATGATTCAAAACAATATATTCAGTGTAAATATTCTACAATAGCTGACAATAATATTCTAAGAATTGAAAGGGTCATTCTGGTATTTAGATAGATACAGAATGATATATTCGGTGACAATCATTTTCTATCGGCCTAAATATTGTCGTTTCCGACTGGGACTGAGGAGCAAAAGTGAATTCTGGTGCTATCCAAAGAGTCTGAATCTTGTGATCTGTCTCTATAGTTGAAATGACGAGTTGACTTTCTACAGTGGTGTCACCTGAGATGGCAGACTTGGCTTCATTCTACTTTCTCAAGTTAAAGCCATATGGCGACTTGTATGTATCTTGTCGTCGTAAGATCATTGTAACAATATTCAATATTTCGAGATGTTGAAATTGAACATACTTTTAACGGTACATCAGGTAAGACTACAAAGCACAATAGCGATAACGAGTACAATAGATGAAAGAAAGAAAAAGCACAAGAAACCCGTGGCTACCCCAGCGTCTCCGTGATGCTGAAATGCACATGATCGCCTTCTCCCAGTGTCAGACGAACAGGTAGACGGGGATCAATACGAACCGGAGCACTGGTGCCTACATAAAAGTCGCCGCGGCTGAAGTTGCGTGTGATAGCTGCCGCTTCTTCCTCTGTAAGGTTACGTGGTCTCTTGTTCGGTCTGAAGGTGGACGTAGAAGCGCCAGTGAAAGCACCATTATAATCATAGTACTGTTGGTGGTTCAGGTTGGGTGCACCGTGAACATAGCCTATAGGAGGGGCGGCGAATGCTGGTACTGCTGCAGCTGAGGTAGGTTACAATCGATCGCGACAGAGATGATGCGATATCACAAACCTGGTGGATGGTGCGACGAGTTTTGGTCGTGAGTATCTGGATCAGGATAAGCACAGGTTGCTCCCAAACCTCGCTTCAGACAGCTCTGATATGGCTGTGGTGAGAAGGGTGCAAAATCGAGATTAGTAGAGTAACTGACCTGACAGGGTAATACCTCACTGCATCTTGTTTTTCCAGTATGGCATGCGGTACATGCTCGTCGGACTGAAGGTGCCTTAGCTATAGATTGAACAGCGATGAATAGAGGGGAAAAAATGGAAGGGACGGAGTCCGACGGACGTTTTCTCCCTCCCTCGTTCGCTGACGAATTCGCGCCTGTTGGGAGCTGTTGTCCTTGCTGTTGGAGATCTGCAGCATGAAGTTGCTGAAGTTGTTGTGTATCAATGGAGGCCGAAGCCGTGTCTTGGGCCGGTGTGGATGCCTCACTGAGGGCCGACATGGTAGCGGGGCGGGCAGGGTCCGTAGATGTTCGGGGAAGAAGGTATATAAGTTATCCCGCACGGTCGTCGGAGCGGTTAGCTATTTACTTATTTATTCCTGTTTGTGCCGGTCCAACCGGCACACCTTTTCATTCCGCTACCGCGACCATGTCCTCCCTTCCGCCTCAGCCGCCTGTCCCCTTCTCTGAATTCGAGTTCACATTTGACCCTGCCCTTTTAGGCCTTTTCCCCGCCCCATCTTTGCCTTTACCTTCCTCCGCAGACCTTTTTTCGCCTTCAGAAAAAACAGATTTACTTGGTTTTCTCGACGACTTTAACTGGGAATTCGACTGTGACCCACTTGCAAACGAACATCCCAATCGTGAATTTGTGTATCCACCATCGCCCACCAGCACTTCACCTGTTGCTCTACCGCTATGTTTTAACTCAACTGCTTCACTGCAGCCATCCACCCACGACCTCCTCAATGGCCTCAGCACAAAAGCCAGACTCCGATCCACTGATCAGCTGTCGATACCACTTTCACACTCCATCCAGCCCTCTCTCGTAGCCGAGTCCACTCCAAACAGTGTCTCCTCTCAGGTGACGTCTCGAGTAAAGCCACCACTGTCTACCCCTCAGAAGAGGCTGAACCACATACTGTCCGAGCAAAAGCGCAGAAATGCCATTCGCGATGGCTATGCTCAACTTATATCGTTACTTGCTCCTGTTGGTGCACCTATCCTTGACATGCCAACTCGAGGTAGACCCAAAGGCAGTGGGGGGAGAGGCAAAGGACGGAGCAAGGGTAAAAGCGGTGTTTTATTCAGGGCTGTGGAATACTGTCGCTGGCTTGAGGAAGGAAGGGAGGCTCTCAGAGATGAAGTATTACGCTTAGAAGTTGCCGCCAGCATTTACCGTCAATGACCATGAACAGGAAGTATTTCAAGTCTCGCATGAAATGCTTTCAGAGTCCCTGACTCTAAACGTTAGTTGAGGAGGGTTCTGCACCTGATGTTCCCACGACAAGCCTGTAATTAGAATTGATATTGATGCCTTGATGCAACTCTAGTAAGAGGGGAACACTGCTTCCCCGCATCTTTTATTATCTCCTCAATATCTCGGTGGACTTGGAAAAATGAGCACCTAGTTTTTGCTCACCCATGCTAAGGACAGCTACATGCACATATACACGTCCTTATGGTGAGTCATCAAGCACACTTGTGTCATCTTATCTTGTCATACAGGTTCACGTAATCACCCTTGGTGTCTTCTACAGTATCTATTCGCAGGTATGACATGCTCACCCCTACCACGTCCTCCAGCACCCTCCAGAGCATCCCGCCGTGCCACCAATGCTCTCAACATCAACAGAAAATTACATGTTTCTGTGCTGACATGCAACAGTGATGCATGATTGTGCAACACTGTAGCTTGTCAATGTAGAGGCACATGAACTACTAATAAGAAGCTAGAGGACATGTTGTAGAAGAGGCAGCGAGTGGGGATTGTTCGTTGCAGTGGTGGGTGCTTCTTGACGGTATGTAAATACATCATACATCCTCTGATACGGCAGCAATGTGTTCCAGCGCCCTCAGCGTCTCTTCTCTTCTTTCTCTTCCAAATCCTCATCTTCCACTACCCCTCCTCCTTCATGATTCACAACGAGGGATTGTCGGTGGTCCTCACTAGAACCAGAACTCACACCTGCTGTAATGGTGTCAATGTACGGAGTAGCTTTGCTAGCACTTTCCCCATTCCAATATTAGTAATACAATCAATACTCACCTGTTTGTGTTACAATACACAATTTTTGGACTTCCTACTTTCAGTCTTTGCTTCAACCTTCTTTTGTGCCATGTGGCACTTTCCTTTACTTCAAACTCTACTTCTATCTTCACTTTCTCACGCTACACTACTTCTCCTTTACCTTTTAGATACAACTCTCTCACACAGTGGAGCTAGTCACACAGGCTACACCCTATGACATCATGAGCCACCACCTTCATCAACTATATAGTACATATGTACAAATAGTCTGTTAGTTGTATAAATACCCCAATAGATCAAGGAGACTCCTCAGTGAGTCCTCCTGTTGAATACCATCAACTAATTCGCTCCTATCCAGAAGAGTTTATCCACTCCTTCATTCTCCCCTCTTTGCCTGTCTTCACTATGCACCAGAGTATAAAAACTTTGGTTGTAACAGTTTGTAACCTATTCATTTTGGTCAGCTTGAACATCCGAGCTACCACTAAGCCTTCTAGGTGTAACAACCAAGAGTTAGTTACTCTGGCGCACACAGGAACACACTATAAAGGTAGTGAATGGGGAGTGGTTACCCCTTAGGCTGCAGAGAGTTTGTTGGTATACAACAGGAGGACTCGCTGAGGAGTCTCCTGGATTTATTGGGGTATATATACTAATACAGAGTGTTTGTACTTATGTACTGTACAGTTGATAAAGTTAGTGGCTGATGATGTCATGGGGCCTAGCCCGCATGACCAGCTCCACTGTGTGAGAGAGTTGTATCTAAAATAAGAAGAAGGCAACGCGGCGCAAGAAAGAGGAGTTTGAACAAAAGGGGAAGTGCTGCGTGGCACCATGTGTGAAAGCTAAAGTGTACAAGGTTAAAGCGGAGAATGAAAAGGAAGGAAAGGTCCGAAAATTGTGTTATCATAACACTACCCCCCTTCTAAGGCTCAACTTCCAGGCGAGACCAAATACCGGAGGTGGTAGTTAAATTTTCGGGCATAGGTTGAAAAAGGGAATTAAAAAGTTTTGAGTCCATGCCTCTAAGCTTCCTAGGAGCTGAGGGGTTCTTAGAATAAAATTCTCGCACAGCGTCGCGGGAATTGTCCAGATGGGCTTCTGGTTCCCACATTCTGTCCTCATCTCCATAGCCCTTCCATAGGACTAGGGACTCTAATTTGCCACACTTCAAGCGTGCATCCACCACTTGTTCGACTTCGAACTCTTCTTCACCTTCCTGGGTGACTACAACCGGTCTGGGCCGGTCTACAGGCTGTCCTGGCAGTGGCCTTTTGTAGGGTTTCACATGGCTAATATTGACCGTGGGTACTACCCTCATTCGTTTTGGGAGTTCCAGCTCCACCGCGTTGGGTTTGACTTCCTTAATCCGGTAAGGGCCAATCCACTTTTCGGTCAGTTTTCTAGACTGCCGATCCTTTAATTTTAAGTGGTCGGTATCTAACCAGACCAGGTCGCTGACTTTGTAGTCAGGGGCCTTAGAGCGTCTACGCTCTGCCCTGTCTTTCATCTGCTCTGCAGTTTTAAATAGCGCTTTGTGCGTTTCGTCCAAGACAGTCTTCATGTCTTTGGCCATATTCCCAGCAGCCTCGTTCTTGCTTTTACCAGGTTCTACACCCATTCTGGGGAGGTACAATCTAGTAACCTCAAATGGTTCCTTTCTTGTAGCCGACGACTGTTTGATATTATAAGAGAACTGGGCTATCTTTAGCCACTTGGCCCAATCTGTCTGCCTGTCATTAATAAATATACAGAGGTATTGCTTCAACTCCTGGTTGAGTCTCTCCGTTTGTCCATCGGTCTGCGGATGGAACACCGTTGATAACTTAAGTTTGATGCCCAGCATCCGGCATAACTCTTGTGTAAATTCACTAGCGAATTGTGGCCCTCTATCGGAGATAACTGTTTCTGGTAACCCATGGATAGACCATACAAAATCTTTAAATAAATCTGCCGTACCAGCGGTGGTAATGGTTTGATTGGTGGGTATGAATACCACTTCTTTGGAGAAGCGATCCACTACCACCATTACTGAATCATACCCATTTGACTCGGGCAGATCCGTCGTAAAGTCAACCAATATATCCTGCCAGGGAAAAGCTGGTATCGGATTCGGCATAAGTTTACCGGCCGGCGGTTGGTGAGAATTCTTAGCCATGGCACATCTCAAACAGGATTTTACGTATTCCTGTACGTCTTTGACCATGCCAGGCCACATGTAGTTTCTGGAGATCAACTCCATTGTTCGTTGCCACCCAGGCTGCCCAGCCACTGGAGTGTTATGATGTCTATCTATTGCCTTGATCCTTGCTAACTCAGGCACATAGATTTTGTCTTTAAAATGGAAGAGCCCGTCTTCCCATAAATAGTTTTCATTGCCGTCAAGGTGCGCCTTCTCTTTTGAGGAGATGTCTTTTTTGAAGACTTCCAGAAGATTGGAATCCTGCTCAATTCTAACATTGGCAACCCTTGATTGATCTATCAAGGTAACACCTTTGTTGTCATCTTTGATGCCGTTGGCATGATCCTCTCTTCTGGACAAAGTCTCCGCTTTCCCCATAGAGCTTCCAGGCTTATGAATTAATTTATAATTAAACCAAGACAAGTATACCATGTAGCGGGCCTGTCTTTGGTTCAAGTCTCGGGCCGTCATAAGATACTCCAGATTTTTATGATCGGTCCAAATTTCAAATTGGTGTCTAGCACCTTCTAAGTAGTGCCGCCAGTGCTCTAAGGCTCTAATGATGGCTAGCATCTCTTTGTCGTAAATTTGATAGTTGCGCTCTGTAGGCGACAAACTATGTGATAAATAGGCACAAGGCCTTCAAAAATTGTCAGGGCATTTAATTGACAAAACAGCCCCAGTAGCAAAATCAGAAGAGTCGGTTTCTAGCCGGAACTCTTTGTCTAATTCTGGAAATGCTAATATGGACACTATCGTAAACACCTATTTAAGCTTATCAAAAGCTTCTTTTTTATTGGCGCCCCAGTGCCAAACAATGTCCTTTTTAGTGAGATCGTTCAACGGTCTCGTGATTTTTGCGAAGTTTTTGATAAACCTTTTGGTAGAGATTTCCCAAGCCAAGGAAGGCCCTAACTCCTTTGACGCGAGTAGGTTCTGGCCAGTCCAAGATGGCTTGAACTTTCTCAGGGTCCATTCTGATTCCGTTCTGGCCTATGATCATACCGAGGAAGTCTACGTCTTTCACCTTAAAATTACATTTTTCGTGTTTGACGAATAGGTCCCGTTCCTGTAAGCGTTAAAGGACTTCTTGCACAATCCTGTCATGCTCAGCCTCATCGTCCGACTTTGTAAATATTAATAAATCGTCAATGTAAATGACAACACAGTTTTCCATATCCGCAAAGATCTCGTTCATCATGCTCTGGAAGGTTGCCGGTGAGTTGGTCAACCCAAAGAACATAACAAGGGGTTCAAAGGATCCTCGGTGGCACGTGAACACGGCCTTCCAAGCATCTTCTTCTTTGATTCGTACATTATTGTACCCCCATCTGAGATCCATCTTTGTCAAGATCTTGGCACCAGCCAATTTGTCTACTAGCTGACTGATTAAAGGCAGTGGATACGCATTTTTAACCGTGTTCTCATTCACATAACGATAGTCCATAATCATACGCTTCTTACCATCCTTTCTAGGAATGAAGAACACCGGGGACGTCATAGGGCTTTTGGAAGGTCTGATGTAACCCTTCCTAAGCTGTTCATCTGAGGGCAACGTGACAATGTGACAACCTCTGTCTGCCAGTCGATCTCAGGATTGTGTTTAAATAGCCAGGTCCAGCCCAAGATTAAATTAATCTTCCCTAGTTGGGTAGCTTCGGCGGTGACTCGTTCTCTGTGTCCTTGGTATTCAACAACAAAAGAACATTTGTGTGTGATGCAGCCACCCACGTTAAGTGTACCGTCAACGTTATAGACAGGAATAGATATATCTAATTTTACAAGGGGGAGTCCAATTTGCTCCGCCCAGACCTGATCTATGAAGATTCTATTATGAACAAAGCTTGAAGGAAGTGTCTAGCCACTTGCTGAGAGCAATCAGGGACTGGAACTAGAGTCCAATGTGAGTAACTAGAGAATAGGAAGCATTGGACTCTGCAGTACTGTCCGAAGTTTTGTAAACAAAGGTAAACAAAGCAGCCACAAAGGCGGAATAATAGAAAACACAATCAATAGTGAATGATAGAAGAATAGATAGAGAAAGGAATGAAAATATATAGGTAGCAAAAAGGTGCAGAATCACCAAAACTAACACTCCCCCCTGATGCTGCACCTCCCAAGCATCAGCTTCCCCCTGATCTAATAAGTCCCATCATCTTCCTGAACACTTCCACTTTAGGCTTGGCAAGAGCCTTGGTCAACAAGTCTGCAGGCATTTCAGCAGTGGGAACAAAGGTAGGAGCAATCTCCCCAGAGTCAACAACATCTCTCAACGAATGCCATCGCAGATCAAGGTGTTTCAT